TTCTCATTCCTTTCCTGTATACATACATAGCAGAGTAACACCTCTCCTTCCCCCTAAATTAGCAAGGTGACTTCCTCTCAGTTGTAAACTGTGAGCTGGTGACGAATGTCACTTTCAAGTGGAAACACGGAAGATCCAGCGTACATTCTCCAAGCTCTCCTTCCAAGAATTCAGCTACATAAAGTATAACAATGTGTATTTATTCTGAAACTATCACACAGATTCCAGAAAGGAAATGGCCAAACACATCTCACTAGGCCAGTGTTTTGCAAAGAGGACAGTCAGGGCGGATCCCTAGGTCTTCCTTTCAGTAACAGAATGTACAACAGAGGACAGCTTTGCTTTCCTATTCTGGGAGAAGGCTTTGAAACTTCAGCTGACTCAGGTATACTTATTTTCCTCTAGAGGTGACCACTTTAAAATAATCTGCTAGCAAACAGGACTGATGGGCAAACTTCAAAGGACATAGTGATGAAAGGATCAATAGCCCTAAAGAACAAGATAGCTTCATTTAAGATATAATTATAATTCCCTTTAAGAGAAAGAAGTTAAACTGAAGAAAAAAAGCAGAGCCATATATAACAACACCACTTGACACGGTCTTTGCAATCCCAAAGATCAATATCTGTTCTGTATTTTAAGACCCCCTGATGCAATGCAGAGACTACTCTTTGCCTTTAAATGAGGAAACATGGGACAACATAGTATGACATTTTAAGATAACATCTAAAAATAAGCATATCTAAAGATGAAGCATATCCCTTGAAATATTCCATAACAATGTTGAGATTTATACATCTCTTTGGAAGTAAACACTTTTAGGGAGGCATTGTAACATGGAATTTATACTTTCTGGCTTTATTCAAAGTATTCACAAAATGAGGGCAGGAATAAGACTTGTGATTTGAGACAGTGTCCTCAAAATTACAGGGATAGGAAAATAAAACAACACAAAACAGAAGAGACCTATAACTCAAGAATTCAGAGTGGTTGAGTATATATAAATAAATATCTTAGTCTTTGGAACCAGGCAAATCTGGAATTAAAAACAAGTCCATATGAGTGAATATGAATATATTGGTAGGTTTCTTTGAGTCTCTTTCCCTGTGAGAGGGCAACCATAATCTACAGTGGGAGGGTCAATAAATGATGGCCAGTAGCCAAGTCCTGCCAGTTGCCTGTTTTTCTAAATAAAGTTTTATTGGAATACAGCCACACTCATTGTCTATGGCTGCTTTCTGATATCATGGCAGGACCGAGAAGTTGCATCGCGATTGTATGAGATATAAAAATGTTTACCGTCTGTGTGTTATGGCAAAAGTTTGCAAATCTATGGTCTCTGGGGTTGCTGTATGAACTAGAAATTATTTACCACAGTACTTGTCACATGGCAGCTGCTTTTGTTGTCATTATTCACGTAAGCAAGAGGTTAAGGTCATGCAAGCTAGAAGGAAAATCTTTCAATTGCCAGACCCTGTTGATCAATGAATCCTCAGTCTTCTTAGAAGAAGCCCTTGCCTAAAGTGGTTCACTTAGGAGGCAGCAAAAAATTTCAACCTGTTGTTTACTCTGTGGAGAAATGACCGAAGATAGATGTGAATCTGAAACAACCTGGAGTTTGATAACACATTCTGTTGGTGAGGCTCTGGGGAAATAATCACTCTCATGCAAAATTCCGTATGAACTTACTCTTTGATTGACCTTGGGACTTTATCTCTAATATATCTGACAAAAAATACAAGTGTGCGCAGGTTATTCATTGTAACATTTTATTTTATTTTTTGCAAGAGCAAAAGACTGGAAATAGTCCACCCATAGGGTACTGGGGCAGAAGGAGTTGAAGCAAGTGGCCTGTGCTTTATTTTCCCCTGATTACCAAAGAGATACTGGGATTGAAGGAAGAAGGCAAGTGACCTGCAAGAGTATTAACTAGATCACTGGGTAAACAGATTAGTGAATTGTTTTGCTAGGGAGAGAGTCCTCATCAATGGGATGCTTTGAGCAGGAAATCCCTGGTTTAGGATGTCAATGGTAAACAAACTTCACTCCTAGGTTTATGAGGCATGATTCCCTACAGAATGTCACATGAGCTATTCAAATTTCTTAGGCATAAAATTAGGGATGTTGCAAAATTAAATGTTCCCTGCTGTCTGAGGGACCTGAAAATCTCATTAGAAACCTCATCTATCACTCTGGACCAAAAAGAATAGAGTGGGGGAGTCATGTGCAATTTCCTGGATTTCTCCCTGTATTACCAATATCCATTGGTCTTGTACCTTGGGAATTATTGGCAATGCTTGAAACTGGATAAGATCTGCAATATGACCAATCTCATTGTTTCTGTTAGCTCATCCACACTAAGGAATGCCATCTACAGGTTAATCGAGTGAATCTATATGCACTCATGTGGAATGATCCCCATGATACACTCTCAATGAAAAAAATCCAAGTACGGAATGGTATATATAATATACTACTCTTTCATGCAAGAACAGGTCAAGGATACAGATCTAGAGAAGAGTTAGCTTGAATATTAGAAAAACATTGAAAAAGGTTCAGCCAAAGGCTAATTAACATGGTGACTGTAGAAAAAAGAAGGCAGGGGACAACAAGGGAAGGGAATGAAAGTAACTTTTTCCTGAAAACACTTTGTCATAGAAGATGGACTTTCAGACATAGAAATGTTACATATTCAAAAATAAAATTAAATCAAAAAGAAAGCATCCATTGAAATTAAAAATATTCTGAAACAAATGAACCAAATTATGTATAAAATCTAGGATATGACCACATAGAGAGAAAAAAATTAAGCAATGTTGGTTTTCAGTTTTTTGATTGTACATCCCTAATGGACTATAAAATCAAGACAGAATATAAATTTTTAAAATTCCATTATTGAATGGATTACTAACAGTAATCTTACTGTTAGTGGTAATGTTAGTATTAGTGTTATTTGAAAATAATATACATCATTAAAATTAAACAAGTTTTGTTAAAAACCAAGATTTTCAGTAAAAAGGAAAATAAATTACAAATATAATATCAGAGAAGTTAGAAACTCTGTATGACCACACTTGACTGACAAATAATATGTATGAATTCAATATGCATTTTTCTTAAAATAGATAATTCCTAGGTCCAGCTATTGAAATGACCCAGAAACAATGCCACTACAGAATTGATGGACACCCCTAGTATTTAGATTGTGACACCAAAATAACATCTTCCACAAAGAAAATAGGGTTCCTTAGATGAATGGCTGACCCCAGGTCTGGAATACTGGGTGGGCTTGATAACATCTAGTAGTGCTTGATACATGGAAACTGTAAGACCAGTGGGGCCTGTGTCAAAAAAATAAATCAACATGAAGTTGTTCCCAATGACTGAAAGGGAATAGTTTCACACATGAAATAAGGGGGCAGAAAAACAATACTACAAAGAGACAAATCCAGAATGTGAGACATTCTACAAGACAACTGACCTGGTTTCTTGAGAAGTCAATGATGAAAAGAAAAACAAATAGAAGCTGGGAGAAAACTGGGGACATGTCTAAATAAAGAGGCTTGAGATGTAATAATAGCAAAGGGCTTCAGTATACATTGTCCAAACCATTATCTATAAAATGTCATTATTTAGATGATAGGGAAATTCAAACATTGGGTATTAAATGATGATCAGGACTTACTGTTAAGTTATATTTTATATGAGTGGCATTATGATTCTGGAAGAAAACACCCATTTTCTTTTCAGAGATGTATATGTAAGGACAAAAATGACATGATATCTGGGATTTTCTTAAAATATTTCAGCTCCCCCTACCTTCTCCAAAAAAGAAAAAAACACACACATATGGCAAAGTCTCACAGAAGCTGTGTAATGGATACATGATATTCAATGTGCTACTCTCTCCCAGTTGGTTATGTTTGACATTTTTCATATGAAAGAAGAATCAAGGGAAAGATGTTTTGGGAAAAGATTTTACACAAAATAAAGGTGCACGTGATTTTCCATTCTTAGTCTTAAGTTGGCCTGTGAGATCTGCCTATACCAAGCCAACATCTTCCAAAGACCTCAAGAACTACCTATGAGAACTTAAACTGTGAAACCCAGATGGTGCTGATTGACTAGAAGTGTGTGAAGAGAAATAAACAAATCTTTGAATCAAATAAAAAATGGTACAGAAATGCTATCACAGTCAGCCTGGTGTTGAGCTATTGCTACTGAAGAAATAATACATTTTAAAGATTTTTGTTATTTCTTTTATATGCTTGAAGCACTTTGTCAGCTTGGTCAATCAATATACATAAAAACACATTTTCAATATGATGAAAAAAACACTCAGAATCTTTTAGAGTAAAAAAAAAATTAAAATTACTTTTCTTTCTTTCAATAGCTGCATTGACATTCCAAGTTCAATACAAGATACTAACTGCCACTGGGAGAGATTTGTCCAATATGTTGCTATTCAATTCCAAGGGCAGGTGGAGCAGTAACTTTATTGACCCTGCTTTTACATTTTCTAATGTTATAGTGTAGAAATGCATTTAACTAAGAGTGACATGATCTTAGATTTCACTGAGAACTAGTAAGATCTAACAATGTTAATTATTGAGAAGTTATCAATATCAACATAAATTTCTCTGAACTACAACTGTAGAACTGAACAGAGGAGGTGATAGAAATACAAGAGAGTAAATTATTTCCTGCATTTCTCTAATTATACAACTTATCTTTTATATGGTTTCAGAGCTTAAGAAGCATTTTTACACAAATTCCTCCCTTTAATCTTCATTTCCATACTGCATGCAGGTAAGGACTCTATAAAGCACAGGTCTACTTTTCAAAGAAATTGAGTCTCCCGGGGCCAAGTGATGACTTACTCAAGGTCACACACTTACTGAAGTAGTGGTGGCAAGACCACTGACTTATAACCAATAAATTACTCAGAATAAAACAGACCATTAGTAACTAAAAGAGGAGATATGTTAAACTCTGCTTACCTTTCAAAGCCAATCTGCCGAAAAGTTTTTTCCCATGTTGAACCTGTAACAGAAGGAAGAAGCACAGTTAGTGCACATGAAGTATTCAGATAGTTTTGTCCTGGTTTTGCACACCCTGGTAGATATTTGGTCTTACATTCAAGTAGGATGATTGTTTCCCTTCAAATGCATCACATTGGTCCCCAAATGGCTTTTTGGAGAACATTCCACATGAGGGGCTAAGCACATGCCCCCTGCTACATGGCAAACCTCCATCGCACTTTGCTCTGGTAATGCAATAAGCCGCTAAATCATTCCCAGTCTGAATGTGTCCAGTTCACAATAATACGAGTAAAGACTTAGGTCAAAAAGAATAACACAGTGTATTTTAAGTACATGCTCTAAAGTTCAACTTTTAATTTTACATAGCATATGGAAAGATGGGAGGCCCTCTGAAGTTCCAATTCATTACACACCTTGTCTTTAGGTCACAAATGTTAAAGCACAAGATTAACATATTTTAAGCTCAACATTTTAACCAGAAGTCTCCTGAATGCAAAATTGCTGTTTCCAGTGACATGATTTGAAGAGTAGTATATTCAAATCCACAAAAGAAGCTGAGTATAAAAAAGATATTCTCTAATTATTTTTCCAGGCAAAAATTATTCCCTACATTATAAGCATAATAATCCTCTGAGTTCGTGATGTAAAGAAAAGTGCCAGATTTTATCAAAGACCATTTTAATAAAAATTCTGCATTAAAGAATAAAAGGGGAGGAAGGTAGAAGATGGCAGCGTGAGTAGAGCAGCAGAAATCTCCTCCCAAAATCACATTTATCTATGAAAATATAACAAAGAAAACTCTTCCTAAAATAGAGACCAGAGGACACAGGACAACATCCAGACCACACCTGCAAGAACCCAGCGCCTTGCGAAGGGGGTAAGATACAAGCCCCAGCCCGGGGGGACCCGAGTGCCCCTCCCCACAGCTCCCGGCGGGTGGAGAGGAGTCAGCAGGGAGGGAGAAGGAACCCAGGACTGCTGAACACAAAGCCCCAGCCATCCGGACCAGAGCACAGACACAGTGCATGCGTGGGGTCCTGGATACTAGGGAAACAGGGCAGCAGGACGGGTGAGCGGGTGCCTGAGGCCGACTCCGGAGAACAAAGAAATGGGAGCGGCTTTTTTTTTTTTTT